AACGAGTTTGTAGTTTGGTAGGTATCACTTTAAAATTGCTTAGCTAAGGGTTAAAAGCTGTTAAACTGTGCTGGCTGGTTTGATCACACGAGTTATTACATTTGTAACTCAGATGAAGGATGAAGTCACTGAGGGCAGGTAAGGCATGGGTGTAACACTGTGTAATCACGGTTGCAGGGAGTATTTACACCTCTTTCCTGTGGAACATGTATGCGGGAGTGCAGCACATAATGTAAAGGCCCTCACCTAAATCTCTCTCGAAATCGTCACTTGAAGGAAGGAGAGGGGCTGTGGTGCAGAGGCTCATCAGCTGTACTTCCTCCAGCTGTCTAAGAATGACTGACTGCGGCACTCACCTACAGCAGGTAGAGCCACATTTGTGTGGCTAGCTGTCATGCTAATGCCTCCTAACAAAATTGCTTGAGAAGAACAACTACCGTGCTACCTCTCATTATTGCAAACGTATCTAAATATAACCCAGAGCTCATTTTCTTAGGAACAAGTACTGGCAGGTCCTAAACTGGAGATGGGAATGTTTGATAGCTCTCAGGTGCAGTGCCAGCCCTTGGCTGTGGTTCATGTGTCTCCTTGCTTATGCCAAGAGGTCTTAACAGATAACTGCAAAAGTTTGACGGATCTGGGTATCTGAAGGGAGGTGACTTGCAGGGTTCAGACTGCAATCTGGTGCAGGTTTGTGATGTAGTGTGGCCTGCTGGAGTGCCCATGAGGTAAGAAGGATTGAAGTCATTCAAATGTAGTAGACATTACAGTGATGCTCTCCCCAAAAATATCTCTGGAGATCCTGATATCAGTCTCTTCCTCTTTTAATGAATGATGAAGTGTACCTCCTTCCAGTCTCATTGAGAAAGCCAAACTGCATGTCAGAGTCTATGCAGCGCCTTCTTCATGAAGTCTTTCTGCAATATCCTATACCTAAAACAGGATTATTTCCCTTTCTCCTTTGCTCAGCTGGAGGCGAAACTGCCATTCCTGCCTTTTATATAACCCTTTACCACATTTTTTCTTTGCCTGAGTACGTCTGTTCATTCCTTCTAAACTATCTGCTCTGGCTGCAGAGTAAACTCTTTTTAAAATTGCCAAATGCACCTTAATTTTCCAAAATTTTGTTGCTGCATGTATTTCTTTCATGTAGAGAAGAACACGTGTTCCAAGCAGCAATTCTACATTGCTAAAGTTATTTTATGTCTTTCCTGCGAAGCCATTAAAAAATAAAGATCAGAGCTCTCCCTGTGTCATGAAATTTCTGAAGTTTATTTTAAGATAGTAGACCGTAACTGTTGGAGATCGGAAGCTGCTACACATATTATTAGCTATCCCTGTTGGAACGGGGAGAGGGTAGCAACTGCTGGGAGAAAAGCCAGGCAGACAACTGGGATGGTGACCATTTTAGCCACCCCAATTTTGGCCACCAGTAAATGTGAATCAACACTCTGTGAAGCCACAACTGAGGGCTGGAGTACTTAGATCTCCTCCAGTGAAGGTTACCGAAGTAAATGTGTATGAGTTCAAAATACAAGAGTAGGCAACATGAGTTTTCATTTTGCTGACATGTCATTCATAGTCTACGCTTTTCCTCTGTCTATGTGCTATGAAGTGTCTTGGTAGCTGCTAAATGTCATCTCCTCCCAGTGTTGCTACTTTATTTCACCGTGTAGTCAAGTCAATGGAAAGTCTCATTCATTGATTTACAAACACATATAGGATATAGGCTTAAAAAATAGGTATTTATTTTACTTCAATTTTGGTAATTTGTGAAGGTATATCTTCAATACCCACATCCACTCCAATTTATTTCATTCCTGTATCCTTATTTTATGTTGCATAACTTTTACAAACAAGACCCTGAACGTCCCAATTTGATTAGCCCCTCTCTCAACTCCTGTTCAAGCGTTACAGAGCTCAGATACACTTTTCCTGCAACCTTTTATCTGATTTTTTTTTTCTTCTAGGGTGCAGGTTGCAATTTTTCCCTTCATTGCATTTATTCATAGTTTCATATTCACTAAAACACAATTTTACAGCAAACTAAAATGTTTTCATGTTATATACACATTTAGTATTTACAAAACAGCCATTGTAAATGAAACAATGAGGTGGAAACAGGATTACACTTACCTAAAACTACCTATTCATGCAATCTGAAAGTTCGGTTGCTAATTAAGTACTGTGTTTACATTATATGTTATATCTGGTTATAGCAAAGGAAATCAGAGGGCAGGGCTGAAGCATAGTCTTTGTGATCCTTAAATAACTACAAAAGGCAATGGATAATACACTTGTTTATAATCAGGTGCAGATTCATGAAATATTATTCCAGAGCTCTGTTCTGTTCAGCATATTACATCATCTTCAACCAGATATCAATATTGATTGAATTCTTCCTGGTTCTTTAGGAACGACCTATGGCCTACCTCTCCCCTTGTTAAAACTCAGGTTATCACAAAGGGCTTTATTTTTTGCCCTGAAAGCATTTCCTCATTTCAGTGATGGCTGTAAAATGCATAAGGAAGAATTAGGTGGGTTTTACTTAGAGTGGGAAGAGGATTCAGAATTGGCTTTAGATGAATCTTTGCGTAGACATACTGTGTGAGATGTGTTAAAAAAACCACAAGCAGTAGTATGGTTTTAAATTCTACTACTGTTAGAGAAAAGGCATAACAAGATAATACTCTCTGGGCAGGAAAAGCATAACTACTAAACTGCTACACTAGCCCTTGCACATCTTAAATTACTAGAGAGACAAAGATAATTTCAGTAAATATCACCAGAAGTTTAGGAGCTTGCTTTCTTTTATAAAGCTGCAGTTTTGTAACATCAGATATCAAATGATGGTTTCCTTGAAAGTGACATGCAACATGAAAAGCAAATAGCTTAATTTACTTAATAATTGGTACAGAAATTCATACGGAAAACAAACAAAAGAAAGAAAGCACCCAACACAAGGTAGCAGAGTAAGTTTGCCTCCCTTCTACTGAAATTCCAGGAAGACAAAATAAAAGAACTGTACGTACATAAATCTCCAGATATTAACAAACTGCTTATGGCTCTATAAAAAGTGCAATAGGAGGTTGTACGAGACACTATTTCACTAGACTTTAGCGTTTTAGGAGGTAAAACACATGGTCAAAGGAACCGGTTCTTAATCCATATTCAGAGCTGAAAGAGGAGTTTGTGTTACTTCCTCCTCTTCAAAATCAATTTAAACTGTCAAAATAGCTTAAAATCGGCAGATTTCAACTTTGACCCCAAGAAAACCCTCTAAAGAATCAGTCTGAGTCGTTGCTGTAGCATTTATATCTAAAGGAAATTTTTAATTTGCAAGGAAAAACAAAAGTTTCTCTCTTCAGAGGTCTCCCCAGCAGCAGCACACGGGATTTATCGCTTCTCCTTTAACTCAGTCCGCGTGTTTACGGCTGGAAACTCTCCCGAACGCAAGTACCTGCTCTTCTCCTCCCTCACCGGGGAAATGGGGCGATTTGGTGGCAGAAATTCCGAGGAAAATACACTTTTGTTAGTCCAAAGAAACACAAATCGAGCACACCGAAGGGCTCCCCGGCCGTGCAGCGGGGCGGGCTCTGCAACGCACCAATCACCGCGCGGCTCCTCTCTAAAAATACGAGCATCTGACCCGCTCCAGCCCAATTGTGTTCGCCTGCTCCGCAGAGGACGCCGCCGCG